GGGGTAGAAAACTCTCTTAAGAGGCACCACTGAAAAAGGCCGAAGATTATGAGAGCCTCAAGAGGCTATAGTAGACACAGAACAGATGGGACAGACCTAAGAAATATTAAGGAGGTAAAATCAGGAGGACTTTGTAAATGATAGAGAGACGAAGTCGAGACGTTTTCCAGTTCCTGGGTGGATGGTAATACCATACATTGAATAATGACAATAAAAAGATGAAATTGGTGAAAAGCGGAGGCGAGGTATCATGAAGAAGGTAGAGAAGATATATATTTTGTTTTATACAGGTTGACTTAGAACTACCTGCAGGGTAGCACCATGGGAAGCTAGTTATCTGGCAGTAGGCAATTGGACATATCTGTCTGAAGGGCAAAGGATAAAAGGTCAGAAGAGGAGCCATGGATTGAGTCATCAGTACAAGACACATGTAAACCAGGAAAAGTAACTTTAGTCATCCAGAGAGCTAGTGTAGCCCCAAAAAGGCAATGGGGTGAAGTCAGACACCAATGGACGTATTAGGAGAATGGGTATATCATCTTAATATTTTGTCAGGAATCATCTCCAAACAATCCTATCTTTGCTATTCTCCAGCTCTCCTCCCTTAATTTGGAATTAATGTATAAAAATTTGTGGTATATGTCTTTGAAGTAACTAACAAACGAGAAACAAAGTTGAGGATAAAATTTTATCCATTAAGAATACTATTGTTGCCCTCGCCGGTTTGGCTCAGCAGTTAGAGCGTCGGCCTGCGGTCCAGAGAGACCGGGGTTCGGTTCCCGCTAAAAGCATGTGCCTCTGTTGCAGTTTGTCCCTGGCCCTGGTTGGGCGTGCGGGTGGCAACCGCTCGAGGTGTCCCTTTCACGTAGATCTTTCTCTCTCTCTTTCTCTTTCTATCTCTCCCTCTCACTCTATCTGAACAAAAAATATAAAAATGTCGAGTGAGGATAAAAAAAAAAAGAATACTATTGTTTACTGACATTCATTGAGCACCTACTATACCCCAAGCACTATATTAAGTGCTTTACAAGTATTATTTATTTTAAACTTAATAACAACCCTATGAGTTATATCCTATTACTATGCCTATTCTACAGGTGCAAAAACTAACTTTTAAGTGATGGACAAACTACTATTTGAACTATGGTCTGGGGAAGTCCAGACCTCCAGTCTTAACCACTGTAAACATAATCTCTCAAAGGAGCTAAAAATAGATAATGAATCACAAAGGCAATCTGCTCTTTCTATATATAACAATGCCTATTAATGACTTTAATTCCACTTGTGACCATTTTATAACAAATTTTAAAGAAGTATTTTGTTTTTACATATGATTATACTAAAGTACGAATAAAGATTCTACTAAATACCATAGTCCAGAGACTCATTTTGTTTTACTTATAAGAAAGAAATATTAAAATTGAAACCCAAGCCCCAAATGGTTTGGCTCAGTGGTTGAAGCATTGGCCCGAAGGGTCTTGGGTTTGATTTCCGGTCAAGGGCACATGGCTGGGTTGCAGGTTTCATCCCTGGTCCAGGTAAGGGTCGTGTGAGAGGCAACCAGTTGGTGTGTCTCTCTCACATCAATGTTTCTCTCTCTCTCCCCCTCCCTCCCTTCCATCCTTCCCTTCTATCTAAAAAAAAGAAAAGAAGAAATCAATAAGGATTAACAATAACAACAAAAATGGAAACCTAAGTGGTAAACTCGAATGACATTAAAATAAAACAAAATTGCTTTTTAAGCCCAAAATGTTAAGTCTCCAGCTAACTACCTCTGATGACATGAGAAATTGCTCCTTTCTTTTTCACCTGTAAAAATAAGTCTGAAAGTCAGTAGGACAGGGTTAGATCTGGTGAGTCCTAGAAATGTGTATGAGCAAATGCTGACCAGGGTAGTATAGAATTACCCAACCAATATATAGTCTTCAACACAATCACTTACCCAGAAACATCCACATGACCCAAGCTTTAAGATTTAATAATTAGGAATTGCATAAGAAGAGACCTCATTAAACATACACACCATCCTTTTCATTAAAGATATGGGAAATTGCCAGGCCAATGTGGCTCTGTGGTTGAGCATCAACCCATGCACCAAGAGGTTGCCAGTTCAATTCCCAGTCAGGGCACATGCCCAGGTTGTGGGCCCAATCCCCAGTGGGGGCATGCAGGAGGCAGCCAATCGGTATTCTCTCTCATCCATGTTTCTATCTCTCTCTCCATCTCTCTTCCTCTCTCTACTATCAATAAAAGTAAAATAGAAAATCTGTCATTTAAGAGAAATCCTTCTACTTCTGTATATACTTACACAATAAACCATAATGACTCATAACCACCATCCGAAGTTAGTATTTCACAACTTGTTTTCCACTTTTTCCTCCTTTTAAAACTGAACTTAAGGAAATATACACTGAATTGTAATAAATGAACTTTAATAGTAAGAGTGTAAAATTTAAAAAAAGGAAAACTCACAGTACATTTGGGTAGCTTGCCTCCTGTTTTATCCATGAAACCTCAAACAGATATTTAAAGTGTATTCTTTTAATAGAGGTTTTGGTTCTCATAATTTCAGCAACTTTTACTTAAACAAGGTGGACCACTGTGATATTGTGAGATGAGATATATATATGTATATACACACACACATCAAGATATATATATATGTTTTTTTTTTTGGGTCATTGTCCATTTATTATTTATTTATTTATTTATTTAATGCTCACCCTAGGACATATTTCCATTTTTTGTTCAGATAGAGTGGGAAGGAGAGAGAGGAACAGAGAGAGAGAAACATGGATGTGAAAGGGACACATCGAGTGGCTGCACCCACATGACCAATCAAGGCCGGGGACAAACTGCAACCGAGATACATGCCCTTAGGGGGAACTGAATCCGGTTCTCTCTGGACCGCAGGCTGACACTCTAACCGCTGAGCCAAACCGGCCAGGGCGATCTTTGTCCATTTATGACACAGAGCTCCTAAATCCCTCTGAATTTTCTAAGTGATAAGATCAATAAAAGTGAAATAAGTGTCTTTTGTTATTCATCTAACAAGCATCTTTCAATCACAACTGAGTTTATATTAATGAGTTTTTGGAAAGCCCCTAGGTAATTTAAGGATGGGTACTGGCTGCCAGGAAAGCTGACCTGATTCAGAGAACTGGAATTTTCTCTCCTCTAGGGAGAGGAGAGGGGCTGGAGGCTGAATCAATTACCAATGGCCAATGATTTAATCAACCATGCCTGTAAAACAAAGCCTCCATAAAGTCTCAAAAGGATGGGGTTCAGGGAGCTTCTGAGTTGGTGCATGTGGAGGTGTGGGGAGAGTGGTACTCTGATAGAGAGCATGAAAACTCCCTTGTCTCTTCCCACACACTTTGCACTATGCATCTCTTCGATGTGGCTGTTCCTGAGTAATATCCTTTTATAATAAACCAGTTATCTGGCAAGTAAACTATTTTCCCAAGTTCAGTGAGCCACTCTAGCAAATTAACTGGACAAGAGAAGAGAGTGGTGGGAAACTGACTTACAGCCTGTTGGTCAGAACAGGTAACAACCTAGACTTTTGACTGGTGGCTGAAGGTGGGGGAGGGGCAGTGATATAGAACTGAATCCTTAACCTGTAGAATCTCCAGGTAGACAGTGTCAGAACTAAGTTAAACTGTAAAATACCCAGCTGGTACTTGGTGACATGAGAACAGAAAAAAGTTCAGAGTGTTGCGTGTAGTGTAAAGGACAAAAAAAGAGAATTTTCTCCCTTTACAACTACATGAATATTTCATAGAGCATTATTTAAAGCCAGGCATTGACTTCCTTTAAAAACAAAGATGACCAACCATATTGATTCATTCTCTAACAGTCACACCATATATCAACATTTCAAAATGGTAGAAGTGCTCCTAAAATGTACAGTATCACTAAATTTTTACCAGAAATCACATGGATCCGAAAAACAAACACAACAAAAAGCAGCGATAGTTTCTCTGGCAGCTTTGCATGATCTCACTTGCAGCCTGATTTTCACTGTGATGCCTGCAGTAAATTCCACCAGTACGTTTTAGAACTTTTGCAAATTAAATTGGAAGTACTTGTTCACCTCAATTCATCTCTGGTGGATGCTGTATGGAACTCTAAATTTTAAGTACAACTGCATTACTGTTCTCTGATTAGTGCAGAATAATTCTTGGATTCATGATAATGCCAGGCTAAATGACACTGCAAAGAAACTCTTTGTTTTCAACTAAATCAGTGGTTAGCTTTAGATAATGCAATAAAGAGTCTTATTCATCTAGTGTACCCTAGTTAAAATTGTAAAAGTTGAGAACAAAAACAAAAGCTTCCACCTCTGTTGAAAGAATAATGTTTATTTAAAGCTCTTTTTTTCCTTTATGAATTTAATAGAAACACTGCATTTTAAAGGTAGAAGGAATTTTGAGTAATTTATAGTCAGAAAATTAAGTCATTTGCTAAGGATCCCTCAACAAGTTAGTGGCGGATCTAACACTATAACCTAGGCCTTCTAAATTCCCTAGTTAAGGCTATTAAATATTATAGAATATTATGAATAGCTTAATATCAGCCCATTTTTAAATAGGCAATTTATCAAGAGCCTACTTTGTATCTTTCCCTATGCCAAGCATTTTCATGTCTATCATCTCTTCCCTAAGTCAGCCCATAAGGTTTTAAGACTTAATAAAACAAACACATTCACTCCTCTGGACATCCACTGTTGCCAACAGAGAATACTGCCACATGATCCAAATGGAAAGAGGTAATTCAGTTATTGCACTAACTGAAGAGAACGTGTTCCAACAACACACTTACTCTCAGAAATTTCCCTCCCAGAGGTAAATTTAGACAACCTCAATGCACGTCTGGATACTGGCCTCTTTGCAAAGACCTATAAAGACTTTGCAACTACCTCCTCCTCCATCCACTTCTTTTCTTTTTTTTTTTTTTTTTTTTTAACAATAGATCAGTTATTTAATTAGGTTCTTTGTAAGGAATTTAGAACACCATTTTGTGAGGATAAAGCCCATTTGTGAGAGCAAACACAGAGCAGAGGTAGCCCTGCAGCTGACAAACAGCTTTGATTTTTGGCAGAATTTGCGAGTCCACGGCTTTCTGGTCAACCTTGTGCTGCTCTGTAATCTCGTATTTCTCTTTCTCTGTGTCGAAGATCTCACCCTCCTGGTGCCTGGGCTTGCGTAGCTTCTTCTTAAAGTAAGCATCAGTGAGATGTTTGGGGATTTTCACACCACTGATATCAATTTTGGTGGAGGTGGCAATGACAAACTTCTGATGTGTTCTACGCAGAGGAACTCGATTAAGGGACAGAGGTCCAGTCACAAGTAGCAAGCCACTGCTCAGCTGCTTCAGGAAAATCACCCTCTTGCCTCTGTGACGCCCAGTGAGGACGATCAGAATGGTCCCAGGGGTGATGCTGGTCCGCAATTTTCTCACATGCTGACTGAAGGGTTTCTTGCCATGGCTCAGTAGCTTCCCAGGCACATCTTCAGTAGGATCACATCTAGGCATTTTGCAAAGTTTAACCACTCGGGTACCACCATTCTTGTCGCCACCAACTGGTTTTGTGACAGTAGCAAGAACCTTCTCCTTCTTTTTCTTTTCAATCCTGGATTTAGCTGTGGAATACTTCCTCTTGTACATGGCCTTTTGGGAATACATAGCCGACCGGGAATACCTGCCAATTCCTCTGACTAGGACAGGGTTTCGGCTGCAGTGGGGCTTCCCCTTCCTAGGCGTCTTGGCCTTGAGGTTACCCTTCTTAACCTTGCCTCCAGCATCAGCCTTCTGAGCTCCAGGTTTCTTCTCCTTAGTATCAGGTTTCTTCTCCTTAGTACCTGGCTTCTCAGGTTTTTCCCCCGCCATCTTGCAAGATGGGAAAAACCATCCACTTCTATATTTTCTTCCGTGACCACATTCTTTTTTATTTTTCTGTAGCTCCTCTTTGTTCTCCAATTTATGGTTTCTTCTGAACTGCCATCCCCTCCAATAATCTAGAAATCTAGATAATCTAGAAATGATGTAGAATTTCTCCTTTACATTTTGACCTATATTCTTTACGTACCCAGACCAAAGCACCTTTCAAAATGGTCACTGGTAGTTGATAGGATTCATTAAATGAGAGATAACTTTAACTACAAATACAGTGTGTTTTTTAAAATACTAAAATGTGGGTATTCGCTTTTATAAAATTTCAAAACAATAATTTACTTTAATTTTTATATGTTTTTATTGATTTTTTTAGAGAGAGGAAGGAAGAGAGATAGAAACATCAATCAGCTGCCTCCTGCATCAATCTCCTCCCCCACTGGAGATTGAGCCCGCAACCCAGGCATGTGCTCTGATCAGGAATCAAACTGGGACCTCTCAGTTCACGAGATGGAGCTTAATCCACTGAATCACACTGGCTGGGCACAAAAATGTGCTTTTAAAATAGTGAGTTTCTATATGTGCTGCAAGGCACAGTCAAATTATATTGCCTTTATAAACATACGGTGCTAAATTGTCAAAGTATTTTCAGTTGAGAAAAAGAATCTACTGGTATTCATACTGTTGGGGAGGAAGACATTTTTCTCTATCCTTCTGTGTTCTTATGGCTGATCTAAGAATTAAATTGATTTGAGACACATTAACAGGAAAAAAATAGCCAAATTTAATTATGTATGTACATATAGGGGAGGGGTCCAAAGAATATGGGGGCCCAAGGTCAAGGTGGGCAGATGAGGCTTATATGCTAATATAATAGTATATATCTTAAGCTAAGGAAAAGGGGGTAGTGGTCTGGGACTTCAAAAGGGAGGAAGACAATTCACATGGAGATGGAAAAGCAAATGTGTAGTAAACATGTTTTCTGGGTGATACAGAGACAAAGGGACTCAGAGATCTCTAGACCCTGACCAGTTTCCCCATCTTACCTAGCCCATATTCTTTGTAGACATCTCAGGTGCTAGCTCTATTTCCTGGAACAGGCCCCTATCTAAATTCTTTCAGGCTGTTTCAGGGGGAACGGCAAAATTTCTTTCTGAGTCTTTTATTTCTTAAAAATAAAATAATCCTCACCCTGGCTAGTTTGGCTCAGTGGTTAGAGTATCAGCCCAAGCGCTGAAGGGTCACAGATTTGATTCACAGTAAAGGGCACGTACTTGGGTTGTAGGTTTGATCCCCAGTCCTGGTCAGGGTCGGGCAGGAGACAACAAATCAATGTGTCTCTCTTACATTGATGTTTCCCTCTCTCTCTCTCCCCTCCATCCCTTCCACTCGAAAAATCAATAAAAAAATATTCTCAGGTGAGACTTAACAAAAAAATAAAAAATAAAATAAATAAAAATAAAAATGAAACCAAAAACTGGCTCTTTAAAAAACAATACAAATTGGTAAACTTTTAGCTAGGCTGATCAAGAAAGGTAAGAAGACCCATTAGTAAAATAAAGAGTGAAAGAGAGAACATCACCATCAATCTAGTAAAAATAATTTTAAAAGAATACAATGAACAATTTGTATATCAAAAAAAAAAACATTGCTAACACCCTGAAATCCTGGAATGAGACCCTCACCTCCAGGTTGGCTACCCTACCTGAGAAACCACCTGCTATTGACTGGGCTTACTACAAGACCAATGTAGCGAAGGCCGGCTTGGTAGATGACTTTGAAAAGAAGTTTAATGCCCTGAAGGTTCCTGTGCCAGAGGATAAATACAGTGCCCTGGTGGATGCTGAAGAGAAAGAAGATGTGAAAAGTTGTGCTGAGTTTTTGTCTCTCTCGAAGACCAGGATTGAGCAATACGAGAAAGAGCTGGAGAAGATGAGGAACATAATTCCATTCGATCAGATGACCATTGAGGATTTGAATGAAGTCTTCCCAGAAACCAAATTAGACATGAAGAAGTATCCCTACTGGCCTCACAAGCCAATTGAGAATTTGTAAACTTGAGTCTGGGAGGAAGCTCTGGCCCTCACATTATAAACTCTGGATATTAAAAGTAATTATATGGTAAAAAAAAAAAAAAAAAATTAGATAACCTAAATGAAATGGTTACAGTTTCAAGAAGAAACAGAAACTATCCAAATAGATATATAAGTAAACAGACTGAATTAGTAAAACACACACACACACACACACACACACCTTATTTCCCACCAAGAAAAACTCAGGTCTAGATGGCTTTACTGGTGAATTCCACCAAATGTTTAAGGAAAAATTAATATCAGCCCTTCACAAAATCTCCCCCCCCCCCGTAAAAAAAAAAAGAGAGAAGAACGAATTCATTCAATGAGGCCAGTATTATTCCAATACCAAAACCAAATGAAGATATCACAAGAAGATAATTATAGATCAATATAGGTGAAAAATTCCTCAATAAAATATCAGCAAACTAAATCCAACAGCATATAAAAAGGATTATTCTGTACCATGACTAGCTATGATTTATCCCAGGAATGCAAAGTTGTTTTAACATCTGAAAACCAATCAATGTAATACAACACTATATTAATTAGAATAAAGGACAAAACCACGTGATTATCTCAATAGGTGCAGAAAAGGATTTGACAAAATCTAATACTCTTCAAGGATTAAAAACACAACAAACTGGAATAAAAGAGAATATTCTCAAGCTAATAGAGAGCATCTACAAAAAACCTACAGCTAACACCGCATGTAATGATGAAAGACTGAATGTTCTTCCCTTGTGATCAGGAATAAAGCAAGGATATCAGCTCTTTTCACTGCTATTCAACATTATACTAGAGGTTCTAGCCAGAACAATTAGTCAAGAAAAAAATTACAGCCCTGGCCAGTTTTGCTCAGCAGTTAGAGCGTCAGCCTGCGGTCTGGAGAGACCCGGGTTCGGTTCCCGCTAAGGGCACGTACTTCGGTTGCAGTTTGTCCCCGGCCCTGGATGGTCGTGCGGGTGGCAGCCACTCGATGTGTCCCTTCACGTCGATGTTTCTCTCTCTCTCTCCCTTCCTCTCTCTCCCTCCCACTCTATCTGAACAAAAAATGGAAAAATATCCTCGGGTGAGGATAAAAAAAAAAGAAAAAAATTACAAAAGGCATTCAGATTGATAAAAAAAAAAAAAGGTAAAATATTTCTATATGCAGAAACATAACCTTGTACAGTATATAAAAAATCCTAATGTCGCCACCAAAAAACTATTCAAACTAATAAATAAGTTTAGCAAGATTAAAGAATACCAGATCAATATTCAAAAATCAACTGTACTAATATAATATTACATCAATTATACCTCAATTTTAAAAAGCAACTGAGCCCTGGCCAGTTTGGCTCAGCAGTTAGAGCGTCGGCCTGTGGTCCAGAGAGACCCAGGTTCGGTTCCCACTAAGGGCACGTACTTCGGTTGCAGTTTGTCCCCGGCCCTGGTTGGTCGTGCGGGTGGCAGCCACTCGATGTGTCCCTTCACGTCGTTGTTTCTCTCTCTCTCTCTCCCTCCCACTCTATCTGTACAAAAAATGGAAAAATATCCTCGGGTGAGGATTAAAAAAAAAAAATTATAAAAAAAATAAAATAAAAAAATAATAAAAAGCAACTGAATTTCTATACAGTAAAAATGAACAAACAAAATGAATTGAGAAAACGATTACATTTATAATAGCATCAAAAAGAATAAAATCTTAGGAACAAATTTTAACAAAAGAGGTGTAAGACTTGTACATTGAAAACTATAAAACTTTGTTGAAAGAAATTATAGAAGACAATAAATGCCCTTCTCAGGGTAAAACACAAGTCAAAAGTGACAAAAGTCCTGATGAAAGAGACATTTGGCTTAGCCTACACCAAAAAAGAAGAATTATGTAACTACTAAAAGTAAACCAACCTTTATTTTCTAAAAGCACCAAACTAATATATTAAGTAGGCAAATTATAACAATGGTGATAAAGATACAAGATAACATGGGGGAAAATCAACTAACTTTGCACTGATTATGTTAGTATTGTCTCACAGTTTTATTAGGAAACAACTGAGTATCCAGTTGGCAGAATACTTCACATAATTTCAGTTAAATGGTTCTTCAAATAAGCCAAGAATAACGTCAGGCTTGGCCTTATCTGCCGTATCAGAATTAGTCACAACACTTGAGCCAGGGCAAGGTGCCTGAAAAATACTACTAGTCCTTTGAGACAAGACTATACATGCATTCTTTTTATATTTTTAGATACTTTTAAAAAATTTTATTTTTCAATTACAGTTTATATTCAGTATTATTTTGTATTAGTTTCAGGTGTACAGCATAGTGGTTAGACAACCATATACTTTACAATGTGTTTCCCCCAATATTTCCAGCACCCTCCTGGCACCATACATAGTTATTACATTATTATTATTTTTTAAAATACGTTTTTATTGATTTTTTTTTTTTTTTTTTTTGAGAGAGAGAGAGGAGAAGGGAGAGAGAGATAGAAACATCGGTGTGAGAGAGAAACATTTTCCACCTAGGCCACCAACCACCCCCACACATGCATTCTTTCAAAAAAAGATTTGAAACAACTTTAAAGACATAAAAGGAAAACAGAAATACACAGACCTATTTTTTTAATTAAGGGACCTGCAGACATAATTTTTAAAACTATTTTTAGTCCAGCTGGTGTGGCTCAGTGGTTGAGCATCGACTCATGCACCACAAGGTCACCAGTTCGATTCCCAGTCAGGGCACATGCCCAGATTGTGGGCCTGATCCCTAGGGGGGGCATGCAGGAAGTGGCCAATCGATGTTCTCTCTCATCAATGTTTCTCTCTCTCTCTCCCTCTCACTTCCTCTCTCTCTAAAATCAATAAAGGAAAAAAAATAAACTACTTTTACAATGGGTTACATATTCACATGGTTCAAAAACCAAGAATTTTAAAAGAGATACAGTGAAAAGTCTGCTTCCCACCCCTGTCTCTCACCACCCAGTTCTCACCACCCAATCCCAAAAGATAAACACTTAATTTCTTACATGTCTTTCTAGATCTTTTTATGCTTAGACAAACAAAGCAAAAATATATTCTTATTTTTTCCCATTTTTCTACACAGAGGTAGCAATTTATACATATTCTACATCTCCAAAGCAAATTTCTAATCCCAAAATGTCCAC